GATGCACACGGCTGTAAAAAGGCATAAGTTCACACAATACTCCCAGGGAGATTGAAACCACTCCAGATTACCCATTATGTCCACAGACATGAATTCCTTACTTTTCCAATTTCTTTGTATGACAACGACTTAAAATGAGTTATGAATTTATTCATCGAGCAATGGTCTAATGTGTTTCAAATGATGACATGATTATGGAACCGTGTGGAATAAAGGCAGGCAATTTTTAACGGTGGCCGTGGTGCCTTTTTATGTAGCAGACAATAAGAACAATTCATCTTCGTTTAGACGGCGTTAATTTGAGCAACAAGTATTGATGGACCCACTTCCATTTGGCAGCGGTGGATGAGGCACTGCTACCTTGTGGTGGAAAAGATGGTGGCCCCTTGCTTCCAGGAGCTTATGTTTGGGTGGGATAGACGTGGTCCTTCCTTCCTCCATCCCCCCTTCCTCCCTCCCTCCCTTCCTCCCTCCCTCCCTCCCTCCTTCTTTCCTTCCATAGCACTTATTAAATACCTACTGTGTGCCAGGCATTGTTTTAGATGCTAATAGAGTGATCCCTGCCCTCATGCAGCTGACATCCCTGTGAGGAAATTCAGATAATGGATGCACAAATGAACCCTCAATTTTCTGTCATTCTGTGAAAGGAAGTCAAGTCAGCTTGGGCATAGGGTGACTGGATCATTCTTGTTCAGAGGTGATTGAGGTGGAACTGAGAAGATTTATACAAACACTTGGACAATGAAAGGAAGAGCACAGTATGAGTGTGGGGAAGAGGTTCTGGCACAGGAGCAAGTGCAAAGGCCCTGGGGGAGGAGTGCAGTTGGAGGGGATGGGAGCTTGAGGCTGGAGTACACAGAAGCTCTAGGCCAAACAGCACACTATTTTTTAAGGCACAGTAGGGGGTATTTCAAGGGTGAGAGCAGCAAGGAAACAGGGTCTGCTGAATGTTCTCACTGTGGGGAATGAGCTGTTGGGGTACAGCCAGGAAAGGAGTGGAAAGTCCACTCAAAGGTGGCAGGTGTGTCTGAGATATGAGGTGGGGGTGTAACAGGCAGGAGGCATACGCTCAGGTGCAGGGCAGACACAAGAACACTCTGTACAACCTGCATTTCTCCTGCTGCGAGGTCACTCAGCACCCAGAAGGGTCTTGGAGCTACTGCTCATTAGTCCTGCCCAGTGTCCCCAGCCATTCTGCCTCCTCCCCATGTGCTGCCTGCTGCCTGGAATCATACTGGGGTTTGAACTCAGGGCCTTGCACTTGCTAGGAAGTGCTCTATGACTTGAGCTATGTCTCCATCTTTTGGCTTTAGCTTATTTTTAAGATGGGTTGCCTGGGTTATCCTCAATTCACTATTCTACCTCCACCTTCACCATGCTTGACCTGGGATTGGCACTTGTGTATGTGGAGGATGGTCCCTCAGCTGGTGGAGCCAGGACTTGGCAGAGCAGATCTGGGCCTTCAGGGCTGGGGTGGGTCCAAACCTCACACCTGCAGTCTGCAGTCGGAGGCAGCAGGACATGGGAAGTGAGGCAGGGGGATTAGCCCAGTGAGTTGCAGGACAGTCCCTATGATGCCGTGATAGGGGTAGGAATTTTATGTCTATTTTGTTCCTTGCAGTTTCCCCAGCTTGGCACACAGCAAGGTGTATCCTTAGGAAATAATCTGATGGGGAGGGAATGAATGGAAGGTGTGAGACTGAGGACAGCATGAACTTGAGTTGACATCCTACTGTCATGGAGCCAGATTCATGGGGCAAAAAACAGATAAGAATACAATGGAAATAAGATATGGTAATACAACAGAGTGGGTCAGGCAAGGCACAGTCAGTACCAGCTGGGTACTGACCTCATGTTTGCAGATCCAAATAAGAGTTCAGAATCTTACTCCCACCTTCATGGTGGCCGCTTATTCTGGAGCCTGCCTGCTCTCCTGTCTGACAAGGTACTTTCCTCTTGCTTTGCCTTACGGAAACTGCTCCTAGTAAGTCTGTTCTGTGTTCAGCCCTGCATTCTTTCTCCAAAGAGACCAAGAACCTTCCACCCTCAGCCTGGTGGTCTGTACCTAGTGGCATGTGGTCCTGCCTCCTGCTCAGCAAGCAGCACAGTTCAAGCCCATGCAGCTTAGTGGTCAGTTCTTCAACTAACACAGGGCCAAGGAGTGAGCAGATCGCCAGGCTCTGCCTTGCCTGTTGCTTTGTGGCAGGGTTTGTAGCCCTTGCTTCTGGTTCTCTGTCTCATGGCTCCACGGAAAATGAGTCTGCTGAGAGCTCTGGTCCCACTTACAGCTTCTCCTTGCATTTAGGAAGGGGCTTGCAAAGACCCGATTTTAGGCTGAGAACTCCCTCAATGAGCAAATTCCCATTGAGGGATCCTCTTCCTAAAGTTTGTTTTCTTTAAAAATGAACAAGATCTTGGGAAATTTACTTATTTTTTCCAAAGACCCCAGGGCTTCATGATTGCAAAGTTTGAGCCACAACTCCAGTCCATTTTGCTCTGGTTATTTTGGACACGGGGTCTCTAGAACTATTCCATTTGTGATCCTCCTGATCTCAGCCTTCCCAGTAGCTAGGGTTACAGACGTGAGCCACCGGTGCCTCTCTTGCTTCTTATTTTCTAACTTTAATTTCTCATTTTCTAGTGAAGCTGCAGTTGTATTGTGAGTTACTTCCAATAAAAGTTCACTTTTTGGCTGGTTATAAATGTGATAAAGCTCATTAAAAAATTTTGTGATGACTTTTCTTTGCAAAAGAATTGAAACCCCTCCCCCAACCACTTTTCTCAGCCACAAATGTTCAGAAAATACAAAAAAAAAGTTAGGAGAAAAGAAGCTCCTCTGAGCTGTCTCATTTACTCTCTCCTCTTTATCACAGCTCCTGAGTTTTCTTTTTCTTTTGATTTTGTTTTGAGGTAGGATCTTGTAATGTAGCCCAGGCTGGCCTTGAACTCGAGAACTTCCTGTCTCAGTTTCCCAAGTGCTGCTATCACAGGCGTGAACCACCATGTCTGGCTGAGCACAGTTCCTAATTTTCCATGTTGCTTCTCATAGTAAAGGTCAAGTTGCAGATTCCAGGAAAGCAAAATGTGATGTGCTCCGCTCCTGATGACATCACCTGGGCTCCTGGTGATGTCACATGTGCTCTGGATGAGACGTGACCCACCTTTGGATGAAGCCAATTCAACTCAGCTGCAGTAACTTGCAGACAAAAGGATTCTGGGATCAACATTAGTAGTCATTTCATTCTGCCCTGAAGGCATCACAGAGACACAAGCACAGACATAACATCTCACTTCAAGGATAACGCTCATTTTGAAAATGGGCCGTGATAATATATTCTTATAGTGACTTTGTTTCCTCAAAGTCACTATAAGACTTTCACTCTTGTGAAATAGAAACCAAGCCCTTATGCTCTGTAACCAACGCTGGTGTGTCTTCTAGGATATAAGTCTGCAAAATTTCTCTCTAAAGGGCCAGATGGTAAATACTTTAGTATTTGTAGGCCAAAAGACAAAGTCGAGTATATTAAGTAGTTATACATAACCCTTTAACACATAGCCATTGAAATGGTGAAACCATGGTTGCTTGCATGGAGTATGAAGTCAGGCAGCAGATAATGTATGGCCTGTGGGTCACAGTGGACAATAAAAGTCAAGAGGACTCCCACTTAAAGTGTTTATAAGTCCTAATGGTGGATAATAGCTTCTGGGTGGACAACTGGTGTCTCTCTCTGACCATTGTCCATTCCTACCTTCAGGGACAGCCAGATTTTCCCATGATGCACCATGCTCATATTCTCTCAGTCTGATTCTGCACTGGTCCTGGGGGAGATGCTCCCTAGGCCTGTGTAAGTGGAGCATGACTTCTTTTTGACTTCAGCAACTGACTTTGGGTGGGCCCACCACCCAAGCCAGGCCAGCCAGTTCTAATCAGAGCAGCACCCGGGGATTTGCATAAACGACTGGCAGTGAGGTTCTCACTCTTTTCCTGCTGCCTGTGGTGCCCCAGTCAGGGCCACCTGGTGACTCTCAAGAGGGACACGGATCTGAGAATAAGAGAAGTCACTTTCCATGACGTCCTTAACATCAAAGTGAGGACTGCAGACAGGCAGCACTGGTATCACATAGAGGTTTTGAACACCCCACAAATACCTCCTAAATCCTGTGATGTGCGTTCTGTGTGCATTAAAGTTTAAGAAATGCTTGTCTAGACTTTTAAGTTACAAGAGCCATGTTTAAGTTGGGTTGGGCCTGTATACTTTGTAACCTAAGAATCCCAAGTAACCATTTCCCATAATCCTTAACATAGTTCAGCCATGTAGCATGCTTGCTGAGTTCTCATGAATGCAGGTACTAAGTGTGACAGAGGCTTGTCCTGTAACCATGCTGTAACCGCGTTGTAGGTCCCTTACATAATACTGTGCCTCCCGGTTCTGTTATGGTTCATGTACATTTTAGGTTGACTGGTAGCCCATTGAGAGCCCCTTAGAGCCAATGCTAACAGCTCCATCATCCAACGGAAAGGGGGTGATAAGGCTGTGTCTCTCAAGCCAGCATAGGGAGTGGGAAGAAACAGGAAGAGTGGGAAGGGTCCCTCAGACACTTCATGTGCAGAGCCCCTGCCATTTAAGTAACCCAGAACACCTTTCTTTACTCTCAGGTCCCTGGGATTTGGGAGTTATTTGTTGCCACAGTGTAGCTAAACTCACTCATTGTGATAGAAACACCGTAACCTAGAGTTTCCTTATAAAAACAGGACTGGAAAGAGAACTGGCACAGACTAAAGACCCAATAAGTAAATAACAATGAATTTGACAAATCCCATTCAGGGTTAGGAGAATTAGTGAAGTTGAGAGAGGCAGAGCAGATAACAGGAAATGTACCAACCAGATGGGGAGTAACCTTCCCCCCACAAAACACTTGCAGCAAACACCCTGGAAAAGAGGACAAATGCAGGATTGCCACCAGTGAGCTGAAGACAGAGACAGCAGTGACACGCTTACCATAGCGAGTGGGACAATGCCGACCAGGTCCTTCTGGCTTATGAAGATCTCAGACACAGCAATGTCCGTGGTCCCCTTCCGTGGGTACTCCACCTGCCACGTGATAGGCTGAGTTCCTGACAGGCTGCTGAAACTGGCGATTTCAAAGTTCATCTGCACAACCTCGTTGAACAAACTGCTGCTTCTGGAAGAAACAGGAGAAAATGGCATCAAGCTGACTCTGTCCCAAGCCCCCTTCTGCCCCTTGACCCCCCTCCCCCCATTTTTAGGATGAAAAGACAAAGGAACCACCTCCCAGACACCCCAGTGTTTTGTGGGCACCTGGACCATGATATCACTTATAAGCTGGGGTGCAGGTAGCTGGAACAGAGCAGCAACCAAAAGTACGGATCTGTGCAGAGTGTTAACCATTGATTGTGAGTCACTTAGTATATGTCTGGTTAGTGTTCATCAGCTCCCTGACACTGAGTTAAATCTGTTGCCTTATACTTGTAGCATGAGCCTGGGATACCTTTGAACTATCCAGGTTCCAGGATAGCCTTTGAGCTAAGTAGACCTCATTTAAGTTCAAGTTCATAGGTGTGGCAGATGCTGTTATGTGTTTCATGCAATATCACCAGCAGCCCCTCTTAGTAGGTCACTCCCCTCAGGGGTCTGAGAAGTGTCACTGTTTTCCTAGATTCCCTTGCAGCTAGATCCAGCTTTCTGCCAGGTCTCTGCCAGTCAGACCCACTCATCTGGGACTTAGGGTACAAGTGGGTTGTGAGGCAGCAACTGGGAAGAGTCTGAATTTCTTGGTGAGCTGAGTGCCTTGGCCTTTTGGAGTAGCTGTGGGGTGCACCTGGCACCCAAGTCCTCATAACTTCATGCTAAGTGCTGGCACTGGTTTTCCCACATTAGCACTTTGTAGAGTCTGGGCACTCTTCTTGTCTGTGCTATCCCTGGCTGCCCTGTCTCTGGCATCCACTTAAGCAGCTGTCTACTGATTCTTTGAGTGGCCTGACATCCTTCAACAAAACCTTCTCAGCAGCACTTCTTAGCCACAGGACTCTGCTCTGTGCCTAAGAATTCTGACCAATACCACAGTTTGCTGCGAGCCCAGTACACATTTAGCAAGTTTATTCCAGGGGTCTTTGTTAGTCTTAACTTTTTTTTGGATGATGAAATTACATCTTGGAAAGGAGATGTGGCTTGCCCATACCTGAAGGGCACATCCTGGTGCAAGACTATTTATAGTACCTTCCCCAAGACAACTGGTGGCCAAATATGACATCACAAGGTACCCTAGTGCAGGAAACAGCAAGCCCAGCAGCTGTCTACTACTGTAGATAACATTTTATTGGCACTCAGCCTGCCCACTTATGTTTTATCTAGGGCTGCTTTTGTGGCACAAAAGTGTGAATGGGTTCTGTGTCAGGCAGTGCGTTGCCTGCTAATCTTAAAATGTCCCCCATATGGACACTTACAGGGAAGGTGTGCCAGGGCTTGCTGTAGAAGTCAGAGGTGTGATGTGGAGCTGGGGTCAGGCCACCTACAACTAGTGGGTCAACAAATCTGATACTGACTGGGATCAGAAGAAAGGTGTTCTAGGCATAGAGATGGATTTGTAGGACAGACCAGGCTCCTGGGAACCTTGAGAGAGGCTGAGGTGCCACTGTCCCCCTCTATCTACATGCTAGTGTCATTCAGCAGTCAGCAGCATTTCAGGGTGGCACCTCCTAGGACACCCACCTATTTGCAGGTGAAGCAAAGAGACTTTTCCATAGCATGTCACGAGAGATGCACCAACCCTGGGTGAACACAGGCCCCTGAAAGTGTGTGGGTGCCATGTGGGGGGTGAGAGAGCCTTTCTCTTGATGGTGAGAATCAGCTACAAGTGGCCCCTCAAACTTCACTGTCCACTGCATCTTCACAGCCCCTCTTGGTGGTATCACAAGAAGTAACAGGAAGAATCCAAGCTCAAGACTCATGAGTTTTCCTTAGGTTCTCTGAGCTGCAAGTGGGACCTAGAGAATTAGGATTTATGGGTGGCAAAGATGCCTCTGATGGGAAAATAGACCTGAGGTCTGGACCATTCAGCCAGGGGAGGAAAATCTTGAGAAAGAGGGAGAGAGGTCAGAAGGCTTGAGTGTTCCCAGACTAGGAGATGTGCTCTTTGTCCAGCAGCCAAAAGATCTTGGGGATCTGAGCCTGCTCAACTCAACATCAGGGCGCTTCTGCCCATGTCTCCTTTTCTTCAGGGTCACAGGCTCTCCTTCATTCCAGAGCTCTAATCTTGCTCCCTTAGCAAGGTGCCTGGACCTGGAACCTCCTCGTCTACAGTGACAGAGCCTGGACCTGTCTGGCTTAGTGGAGGTGTCAAGTAACTGCTCAACTATGTGATTGACTCTGTTCTGCAAATGCTTCCCTTTTGGTACTGCAGGTTGCAGAAATCCAACTATCCACAGATGCCCTTTGTGGATACCCCATAGGATGGTCTCTGGGCACAGCACACAGGGTGTGCCATGGCTTTCCACCAATACTCTTACTCAGTTCTTCGGGGAATTTCACTGCAGCCCATGTCATCTCTGGAAGACTCGGGAGCGTCATCTGGAAGGCTGGGCATTTCTGTCTCCCAGAGAGGACAGGCTGCAGAGAGCCAGCCTCCTAATGCAGCCACAGTAGCCTCCATGGCTGTTCAGCTGGAGGCTCAGTTAGGATGGTCTGACATTGGGCAAGAAAAGAGTGAACAATGCTATCCCTTCTGGCTTTGAGAGACCTCACACTACTTGAGTTTTGAGAATTTGCCTTCCCAAGGCATTCTGCTCAAATAACATAAGAATGAAAATAACACAGTATTGCTTATAAGATATTTACTACATGCCAGGCGCTGAATCAGGTTCAGTGCACGTGTTATTCGAAATCACCTAAAGCCCCTCAGGATGGTTACAAAGTCTCCATTTTACACAAGTCCCCAAGCAGAGACCCCTGAACCTCTGCTGCCAGCAGATGTGTTTGCATCTACACATTCTTCACCCTGGGGAAGAGCAGAATAACTCCATAGCTTCCTGTATAAAACTTGCTGCAGTCCTCCACAGAGACTCCACCAACTGTGAGCCAACGAAGCTGAATCTCAGTTTCACAATAGGAAAAACAACCCACAATTGGAGGAAAACTCCAGCTTCCCCAGAGCTGGGTGGAATTCTGGGCCCAGTGATGTTAGGACCAGCCTCTGGAGCACTGCGGGGCTCTGTGCTTGCTTAGGACATCAATAAAAGATTTTCAGGATGCTGAGACCTCCATGTGGAGGCAGAAACTTCTGTGTCCATAGGGAGCCCAGAAATGAGTGACAGAGAAAGGCCAGATGAGAGTGACCTGATAGAGAAATGAGACCCTGGATGCCTCAGGATTAAACCTGCTGGATCAGAATGGGAAGGCATGGAATTGACTAGCTTGTTTACTTGTGTGCTCCATATGACTTCCATTCCCTCCTCCACATCATACAGTCTTCATCTTCATCTCTAAGACACGCAGGTGGGTATACCCAAACCAAAGGAAGGACACCCTTTTGCAATGTGATGCTTCTGTGAAGTTGAGCCAGGAAGGTATTTGTTGCCTCTGGTCCCCACTCTGTTCCTTCTAAGGTACATTTCAACTCTGTTTCTGTGACAGCTGCCATGTGGGTTCTGGATAGTGAAATATTGTTCTAGAGGAGCTGGGAATGTAGGATTTTCTATAAAATCTTCAAAATATAAGAACCTGAAACTTACAGCCAACCACATCTCTGCAGCTGTGGGCTGCCCTGGCTGAAGAACACCAGTGGGTGGGGGGTCCTAGAGCATCTCTGTCTCAGATACCCTCTCCATCTTCCTGGAGGGATGTTTATAGGAGTGCTGTGACTCTGAGGTGGAAGGTGCCTGTCTTAAAGATGATGTAGTCATGATTTTCCTACTCTGTTCCCAAGGGATAGGACAGTGATGGGTGTGGGGCTGGGGTTGGTTGCTAATGCCACCTGTCCCCAATGTTCTTGGGCTGCAGGTGGAGATATTGGGCATCCAGAAGTTGTTTCCAGTGGCTTCGTGGCACAACGGTAGCATGTTTTACTCTAGAAGGTGTTTCCTTCAAAGAATGGAGAAGAAAGGGAGAAATGAAGGAAAGAGTGGGATGAGGGAAGAAAGAAGGATCAGAGAAAGGGAAGGAGAGAGGAGAAGACTTAGAAATTAGGACCAAGACTATAACAAGTAACTCTGTAAGTCAGACACTGTGTGTGTTAGAATCCACACTGAGGGCTCAAACTCTAACTTCCTAGATCAGTGGCTAGATGATGGTGAACAACTCTATGTCATTTTCCCTATTTGAAAACTGGGCATTGCTAATCTTTTCCATTTCACAGAGTTGATACAAGGATTAAATAAACCAATGAATATGTCTAAAGCATGTAGATAGAACTTGGCATCAGATAACATCAACAAACATGAGCTGTTCTTGTTTTTAGCAGGACTGGACTCCCTACAGTCCAGAGACTGTAGGATTGACTCGCAGAGCCACTATGGGGACATACTCTTTAAGACTGGTTCAGGGGCTCCTCGGGAACAAGCTCCAGGAGCAATGTGGCTTCTGCTGTTCATTGCAAGCTGGGATTTGTTCACATCTGTTTCTGTGCATTTACTCAGAACCGGTTCCTGACAGACACAATGTCTGATGCATATCATGCTGTAGAGGGGGACCAAGAAGAGAAGGAATTGTATGCAGCTCTGTGTGTGGAAAGTGACTTAGTCCCAGAGCAGACAAAATCTTTGCTAAGCTTTTCCTCCAGCAAGTCAAGAGCTCTCCACACCAGTTCAGAGGGGTGTGTGGTGTCATTGGAGTAATAAAGACAGGAATTTAAACACTGAAGTGACTCCAGAAAGCACCCAGGAGCCACAGAGTGCTAAAATCAATACTGTGGATTTACTGCAGTAACTCTTGAAGGAAAATTTCAGAATTGGCGTAAAACGCTCTTATTTAAAAGCAAATAAATTCCCCCAACAGTCACAATAAATATTGGACAACTAGAGACCAAATTTGCCAAACCTCTTGCCTCTTGGACTCTAACTGGTGAGAAAATGGGCTCTGTGATGTGTTAAAAAGAAAAAAACCCAGAGGACTGTACCTCTCCACCAAAGGGACTAAGTGGTTTTGGCTCCAAAGCCATCAGCCACTCTC